AAAATTTGAACCAAATCCGTCCACTGGTATTTGAGTTATCAACGATTACGTTTTTCTATGAAAAATGGTGGCCATTTTGAAATTCAGCGGCAATCTCGAAAATCTCTTCATGAGCAGAGCTACATTGTCACTAGGCATCAGCATATAAAATTTGAACGAAATCCATCAACTCGTATTTGAGTTAAATTTTTGTGCAACCCAGTTAAATCACTTCAGAAAACCCTAATTATTATAAATGGACCATAAAACATCGTACTCTAATAATTTCTAGGTTCACTATAGGATGTATGGGGGTGACAAATGGACTATATTCACCTTTCCACGAAGTAAAGAAAATCGATAATTTCCGGCGCGCTGATTGGCTGTATGCAAACGAGTCAAATCAATGACGTCAATGACTAAAAGTTTTGAAGAATTAGTACAGCCAGCATAGGAATATTTTGAATTAACTGCAATAAAAAGGATTCTATTTGCCCAATGCACTAATTTTCTTTAATCGAATATGAAATATGAACAGGGCACTTTCATTCCGAATCTTATGTAATTTAATTTAATCATATTTTGACAGAACTATTGTTTATTAAGACTTCTCAGATCAGCCTTACATACCCGGGCTTACATGTCTCGTGCGATTGTAACCAAAAAATGTAAATTGTGAAGTTACAAACAACTCGGTTAAATTTTCTGATAGTGGTCATACAATATCCTGTTAAATGGTTATTATGTCGTAGTAAGAAGTTCCATCATATATTCACCATGAATTCGCGCAAAGCGTTACCTTTTCGTATTTATTCTCTATTCGCCATCAGCGATGTCAATAATGATCAGCAATGTCAACATATTATCAATAAACATTATATGTTATACGTTCTTTCTCTAAAATCTGCCCAGGGATAATTATTCAAAACCGACCATCAAATAACTGATTTATCCAATGAAAAGTGAGGTTTCACAAGTGAAGTTTTCAGGACACCTTGCATATCCAGGTTTGTTATCTATTAAGCGTACTCATTCTCATTATTTTCAAGAAATCCATCATCATTTTGGTTAAGAAAAATTCTACCGTCTGCTGGATCTATTTTAACAGTTTTAGCAAGGTATTTTTACAAATTGACTGTTTCTACACTGAATAAAAAACATTTTTCCGGAAATATTTGGTTCGGGAGATACGCCGCAGCGGGAAATATACATGTTTACAGTTAACACCATTAATATTTCATTAATATTGATCAGTGTTAACTCTGGGATGACAAAGTATGTCAAACTGTTTTCTCAATCTGGCTGTGGTCGGGAAATGTCTAAAATAATTAGCTACTTCGCGTTCATAAATAGTCTTCAATACGTTCATCTCATATCGAAGTTCGTTCAGGTCGCACGACGTCGGTGTGCAACGTCGTATTACGCGTCCCTTAGTTTAGAAGGTCATTATGAACTGGTTTCAGAACGGTATGGTCGCCATCGAATTTTTAATCATTTCAAAATTCTAAAATCATCTTTCCGTCTGAGAACGTTCATGAAGTATGTAAATAGTTCTTTGCAAGTTGCAGCTACGTTCATTCCGTTCACCCACAGTTTAAAACCAGTTTTGAAGAACGCAGTGGCAACTGGTTTGGTGTGATAGCTTTATTTTTGCTAACTCGTTCATAAGCAGTCTTTAATGCGTTCTTAATCAACTTAAACCCCTTTGCAATTAGTCTACCTCGTTCTCAATACGTCCTCAGACAGTTCAACTCGTTGTAAAAACGTCCCTAGTAGGTTTAAAGTACGGCGGTTCCGTTCGTAGTACGTCCAGCTCGTCGTTAGTACGTTGTCACTCGTTCTAATTGTAGAACGTGACGACCACGAGAGCATTTTGAGCATGTTCTAAGTTCTAGAGGACCTACCCGTCCAAGTACGTTCGATGAAGTTTGTAAATAGACACCAAAAGGTTCTAAGTACATGCAGTCCGTTCGTACACAGTTGAAGCCCGTTTTCGAGAACGTAGTGAGAACTAGTTGTGTGTGATAGTAGGGTAAGGACCAAAATCTCTTATTGTAAATTGATATCCCCAACTACAGTAAGTATCCATACGTTTAAAGGGTTCCGATTAGCATCCCGTATAAAAACAATATGGCGGCTCCAGGCGAATCAACTGGATCAGTCCATTTTTAAGAAATAAGGGGAGTTCTGTAAAATCCAGTTTATTGAAATTGTCTTTGAGATAAAGAAATCCGTTTATAATGATTTTGAAAACGTTATCCAAAGAGTGATCTTGCGTTCAAAGAATACATGTACAACAACCAATATAAATCCTTGTATTAGAAACCGGTTTGTCTTGCTTTGTTTCATTTGTAGGATATTTCATATGCCAAGCTGTGTGCTATTGCGTTATGGGGAAATTTAGATGCCAATTTTTCCTTATTATACACAAATAGAAGATCCTGAAACTTCACCCATAAATGTGGAATTGATTTGTCAAAATAAAAATCACCCTTTTATAAATGTGTGACGATCTATAATATACTTAATATGCTATATAACAGTTAGAGGTGTTGACACAACGACCTCGATGCTGTGAACCCTTGAGTATTATTCCGGGATCGGGCCTTTTATACTAAACGGTGAGCAACACCAGAAACGAGCGTTCGATTTGCTAAACGATATGCGTCACCCTTTAAAAACATACTCAAAATCAGAGTTACGTGGTTTTTATTGTTGTTCCCTAGTGGATCTGTAAACATCTAATTCATGGCATGTGTTTTTCGATAAAAATGTGAATGATGATCCGTACCGTATGCACCTTAACTCCGTCGCTTTGACTTCAGTTATTTACGAGTGCGAGAACTCAATTTTCAGAATACAAACATGTAAAGGTTTACTTAAAAGAATTATCCCACGATTAATGTGTTATCTGTACAATAACAGCTGTTGATATTTCTGATATTATTGAAATCCGTGTGATATTTTCCAGAAAATCGTTTATCAAACTCATATGCGTGTGATATCGTTTATCTCACGCATATCCGTGTGATATCACATTTGCATTTTGCGCCACAATATTGTTGGAAAATAGGTCCGTTAATTTATTCTCTTCGGGTTTCATTGGTGTATTGAATTACGATTGTGTGCATAATTTGATTAGAAGGCTGCTAAATAACGAATAAAATGGTATTTATGACGAACAATATCATGTACAGAAAGTAGTGCATATTACTTCACAGTGAGTAAAGTACAAATCAAAATTACCGGTGCAAATTCGTCTGACGAAGAATTGGCGAATTTCGACATTCACATGGGAAACTCTGACGTTTCCGATGAAAATCAACAGAGCAATTGGATCAGAACATCACAAGGTGATTGTAATCATAAGATAAACCCAATATCACATAATTTCTCGTGATATCATTTTATCGCATCGTAGATATCAAATATCAACACTCATTCGCTTCGCTCACTCGTGTTGATATTTTATATCAACTCGGCGATAAAAATGATATCACTCAAAATGATGTGACATTCTGTATATATTGTATTAAATATGCAAGTCATACAGATTCGTGCTTAATGAAATTTGTGCATAATCAATAGTATCATACATTTTTACAATAAGCAACATCCATAACTGGATTACTTATGAAAATGTGAATAAGTGATTGAATATAGATGTCACTATATTTTAGAATGAACCATTATTTTATCATTGTATGTAAACCCAACTTAACAAAACAATTATCATAGATCACTGTTATAACTATAATCATAGATAACATACATAAATATATAGGGATGAACCATTAGATCAACTGGTCTATCAATCATTAGTTTTTAGAGCAAAATACTTTCGGTCAAAATATATTTAAGTTTTGATATTTCATCAAGACTCACATAAATATTTTTATTATCTACAAAGAAACCCCCTGGATGATCATTATTTCAGCTAATATTCCTCTTGAGACGTGGTGAATCTTAAAAATCTGTTAGTGGACTCCCTTTATAGAAGCTTTGAAGTGAATTGACATTTCTTAATGCTGAAATTATTATTCATACATTTTTAGAAATGGGTATGTTAAAGAAGATGTTAAGCCAAATATTGACCTGATAGCTCAGAAAAATTACAAAATTGCGAATTTTCTCTACAGTCCTTGTTGCCCCTTTAAAGAGAAAAATATTTCATCTTAATTTTGTAAAATTCAAAACAAGTCTTTTTTATTTTTGCCTTGCTTATGCCACGATCGCACCCCTTGACTGAATCTGAAAAAACTTTTGGGGATCACACCCCCCTGACTACGCGTCTGCTCTCCAATCTACATTAAAATGCCTTCTTGCATAGCTGTATTTCGGGAGATCTCAAAATTATGAGAAATAACACTGGCTACTCATTGCTCTGTGCACGACCCTTGGTGGTCAATCCTTCTAAATTATATGTTTTTAATTTGAAAGGGAAGATCTTTTAAAAATCCACACATTTTTAATTGTGCTTTAGAAAAGGACTTGACAAACGAAGGACTTCATTATCTCCAATCGAACTTCATTTGCCGGGATAATGATATTGATGGGTTTAATTCTGAATCAATTTTTAGATATGTATTGCTTGAGGCCATCTTTTAGTCAAAATACTTACTGGAAACCTAAAGTCTGGCCCATTATGGAGTATAGAGGGTTAAGTCCACGTTTTAGTAATTTTGTGAAGTAGTGTCTAAAAGATGGCCCAGAGTCCAGTCCACCTTTTCCTAGAGCCAGTCCACTGTTTAGAACATGCCTACATTGTGTGATGGGGTCATATTGTATGGGCATTGTTATCATGCAGTTGTTGTTATTGTATAGTCATTGCTATTGTGTAGTTATTGAAATTTTTCATTATGTATTGTATTCATGACAGGCAGTTTTATTCATTGTTGTTGGCATGGTATATAGTCATTATATTATATTATTAATGATTCAAACGTTAGACTGTCACGAGGATATTACAATGTGAATCAATCTTGTTGTTGTTGAAATTGTTGGTCATGTTGCTAATTCCCCTAACTCACATCAGATTTGGACTGAAACACAAAGCCCAAATGCAATTTAATATTTTTCTGTTTTAAAATACGTTTAAATAAATAAAATATGTTCAAAAAATCATAAACTAAATTGCAAACAATATTATTCTGAGAAAGGAAAAATAATGAAAGCATATACTATAAATTGTTTTGGTGATTGACCTTTTACTTTTCACATCCGAATATATTTATTCATATTTATGGAACTGTTAATGTGCAATATGGAGAAAGATTCACCCTGCGAACCCCCCCCCCCCTGGCTACGGGCCTGAACTTCAAATGAAAATAGCATTACAACTTTTCTTAGCTTGTATTCGCGAATGCAAATACAAATAGCGACTATCGGCTTCCAGATTAACCTTTTGATTTGCATAAATTAATCTGTCAGTTTGAAGTTGCAATATCGAACAACCCGTTTGTCGACTAACAGTGATCACGTGACTTTTTATGCCATTTTCACATGATCAAACAAACTTAAAATGTGTTTTGCGGCTATGCGCATGCGCCAGGTGTTTTTCCGCTATTTACAATTTAACACTCGATAGTCGGTGTTAGTTGCTGCTTTAATACCAGATTAAATTTAGCTCAGCTACTGGGTTTGGGGCGAGAGCTGGCAACTAACGGGACGCACGGCAGGTAGTATTTATATTTAAATGAGTTTGCCATCAAATTGCAATCAACCAGCTGGTAGTCGCTATTTCGCGAATACAAGCTTAGTTGAAATATACAGTATCATGTAATTTTACATACCGTGGTTGTATAACGAAATATAAGAACTTCGAGGAAGGCGATGTGAGTAGAAATAAATGATAAGAAATGGCTGCGTATTAGATCAACTCGGTTCAGAGATGCTATTCTAATTTGTCACCTTTTCCCGTTCTTTCACATATGATTTCCTCGTTCACTTCCTTCGTATACTGTGGTATAATTATAGTCTAGATATAGTAGTAGATAGGATGATTTAATATCGAACATCTTTATTTCCGTCAACACCTGTATATATTTATGCAATATTCATGTTTACTTATAATTATGTGTTATTTTGCAGTATACTGTAGTATTATATTAATTGTCATCGTGTTATATTTACCTTACTCCCGGTATGTGATAATGAATAATCGTCCGTTATGATCCCCAACCAGTAATTTCCCGTCTTGGTTTATCCCAACAGCGCTTGGGAATTTCACGCCATCACTCTCTGTTAGGAGGTAACTATGGAACATGCCATCGGGGGTAAGCAGCTGTATCCTGTGGTTGTGTCTGTCTGCTACCATTATGTAGTCCCATGAATCTGTGACGACACCTGCGGGGAAATTCAGCTGTCCCTCTTCTGATCCACGTGTACCTCCGTAAGTGAAGAGTACGTTGCCAGCTTGATCCATCCCTTTTAAAGGTCCTGAGTGGTCGGTAACTATAACCACTCCTTTGCTGTTAGTTGTCACAAAGTTAGGCCATACAAACGTATCAGAAGCAGGGATGGTTGTTGCATTCCCTGTAGACTGATCAACAATATACACTCCATCTGTCCTTACACCGCACACAACCAACTGACCAGTAGATAGTGTAGTAATACCATTTAGTTGAAATGGAGACACTTTAGCCGTTATGTTGCGAATAGGACTGCCGTCTAATGTGTAGAAGTAGATTGTCCGTGACAAGTCAGTGAATACAAGTTGGTCATCATCTGAAACTGCAACATACTGGAACTCGTTGCTAACGTTTTTGATGAGAGTGAAATCACTGTCATATATCTTTGTGGTAAAACCAACTGCCACAATATGTCCTCTTGATGTTACTGCAAGATCATCTATAAGGCTTGACTGCAGCTGTATCTTCACAACGATTGGTTTGTTTTTTAATTGTCCTATGGTTACTGCAATTATATGAAATATCAGTAATGTTTAAGGTAATTATTAAATCTGAACCATGTACGGAATCATGTTGTAAGCTTAATATGTTAATAAGTTTGTTAAAACAAATTTACAAATCTTGTCGGAATAGAATATTAGAGGGTGCTTCAAATCGTTGAATGCAAATGGTCATTTAAAATAATAATAATTAATGAATTATAAAATAATTTAAAAATCTATATTTTCATGCACAAAATGTCAGAGTTGTAATTGGGTTAGTTTAGAAACGGACAACATCGACGTTTTTATTTTTACTCTTCGCATAATTATTGCGACAAACCAAAGTTTACTGAAAACTGCTCATTTCATGATAAGGGCAGGGTGAGAGTGTTATCCTTTAAGATTTTTTCAGTCAGTATTTCCATATATATTGTGTTGCTCATATGTTATTTTAAATTTTACACCTTAATTTAAATTACATGTAGACATTGAATCACAACCCAGTTTGAGGACATGACTTTCAAACATGACTGTCCAATGGAACAATACTTACTTACATCATCATTGACAAGGGGTGAACGCTCTTTAACAACTCAATTAAGAACTGGTACACTCCCATTAGCAATTAGAAACAGGGAGATCTATTCAACCAAAAACCCCAGTAAACCAAAGCCAAAAAGCCAGGTACGTTATTGCAAGGTTTTCTAGATTAAATTCTAATAATTATTTGACCACAAAAACAAATGCGTTTGTTTGGCCAATATGTTATCTTCAATAAGGGGCAATAGAATGAAAATAAAGTCGATCAGATTATCTCTAAAAGCTGTCATTAATCACCAATTTTCCCCAATTATTAGCAAATTATTCTCACCAAAATTGCAGCATTTTATTCCAATTTTTACGACTAAATCGAAATGTACTATAAGTCATGATTTACCTCAGTCTGAAAAGGAAAATTGAGTCTCTCTGGGATTAGAATAGTCCGAAAAACAATGAAAATTTGAGGTCAAATATCTGGCCTACAAAGCAACATTTTTTATATGGTTTATGTAGCCTACAAATAGCCTTTCAATAAAAAACATTATAAAAACATCTATCACATTAACAATGTGATAGATGTATATAAGATCTACCATTTTAGGACAAAAACCTTTCCTTGATTTTGAGGTAATTTGTTTGGTTAAATTTGAAGAAATGAAATGACGAAAGAATGGGGGGAGACAAAACACAGTCTTGGACCTAGAATACCGACTAAACTGATTTCACTAAATGAATATCCTGATTTTTTTCAAGGCTATAAATAGCTGTTAAAACGTTTTGTCATTGGTTGAGTAATGGCTGAGAAAATGACGTTTAAGTGCATCTCGGTAAGCATGTGGCTCATTGTGGCGACTCGATAATAGGCATATCTGAACCAAAAGCTGAAGCATCGACCAATTTTCATGATTTCTTTTGCTTTTAATTATATATACCGCATGGATCTATTGGAACATATTAGAATATTACATAGAATCGCATTTTTGTTCTATATTAACTTATTAATGGAAAATATTTCAAAATAAATAAAGCCAACCGAGATGGCAGAATATTTATTTTCTCAAAAAATAGCAAGTGTATTGCAATTTTCTCTTAGCAACTTGTTTGTAACATATGTCAAATTATTTTGTAATATTTTAATGAATATATATCTACTGTTTTGTAAATTACATGCATATTGAGATGGGAAATGGCTAAAAATAGCTGTGGATTGAAATAATCTGGGGAGAGGGGGAGGAAAATAAAATAATTTCTTCAAAACAAGTTAAGATATGGTGATATTGTTTAGCAGACATCTTGGAGACAAAAATGTTCATGGATATATGACGTCTAGGTTTTGAAAAATCATTTTTAATGGACAAATTGTGCGCCGTAATATGATATTAAAAACACATTGTTTCTCGGACAAAAATATAGTTACATTATTTTGTAATTATGTCTTGTTTGAAAGTGTATTCACTGTATACTATATATATGGTCTATATCTAAAAGAAGGTAAATAGAACCAGCTTATATTTTTTTTATTCTATGAAAGCACAGAGTGATTTTCAGGCTACTTCTATTCCTACCATCCTAGCTTAGCCAATATACCCTCTATCAGCTCGAATTTTGCACCAAAGTGGTATTTTATCTGTAGCTATAGCAACTACATTTACAAAAAATATTTTTTCATGGCAGAATAGTACCGGGGGAAATTCGACCCCCGCCCCGTCCGCATTGGGGCTAAACCAACCATTTTATATATTTTATACATACTTGTACAATTGACTCCAGCGAATTCAGCCTTGCATTTACACGTATATCTGTTTACTTTGTCAATACAAGTGCCTTCATTTTGACAGGGGCTTGGATCGCACTCGTCTATATCTGAAAGTGAATACCTATTGGATGAGACTTGGTGATAATTCGTTAAACCAAGATGCGGTTGGTGTTCATGGCGTGTGGTCAATCCTTCCAAATAATGCAATAGCATATCAAATAAGACAAGGTTATCCAAAAGATTAATACAAATTTGTACAAACCTGTCTCACAATTGACACCAGTATATCCTGCCTTGCATTTACACGTATAGCTGTTCACTTGGTCAGTACAGTTCCCTTCATTTTGACAGGGACTTGAATCGCACTCGTTTATATCTGAAATGATGTACAGTCATGAATTAATATTAAAGAAAGCCTAATTAAACTACGTTAAACACTGACGTGCCACATGGTTATTTCTTAAAAATATAGTAGCATACTAGGAAAAACAAAATTAACAGAAAACAAACGAATTATTAGGGAAGTTCCTTCATATTGTGTGCCAACACTGGCTGATGCATGATTTAACCATTATGGCAGTTGTAACCGTTACAGCGTGCAAGCAAAGCCCCAGAGGTAGAATTTTGTCTTGGTTTTATTGTAAACGTTTACCTACATGTATATTTGTTTTTGTTTGTTACGTGTATAAATGTTGTGTATGATTTGGTTATTGTTGGATCGTTGATTGATTTGTGTTTTAAGTGTGGATATGTTACATCCCATTTATTCTGGTAATAAGATAAGAATAGCCAAGTACAACTTTTGAGAATTTTTCCAAACCTGTTTCACAATTTCGCCCAGTGTAGCCACTCTTACACTGACACGTGTAGCCATATTCGTTACAAGCTCCGTCATTATCACAGGGTGTCGAATCGCAAAACTCTTGACCTATAAGGTAAACAAAACTACTGGTAACTTGCCCGTAGCCAGCTTTTACCAGGAGGGGAGCTTTTTTCCAAGGGGGGGGGGGAGCTTTTTCAGAATTTTTGCTAAAAATCATGCGAAATATTCTCAGAATGGTGAAAAACTGCATGATTTTGAAAGAATTTCTGGCCAAGGCGCTCCCCCAGCTTCCCCTCTGGCTATGGGCCTGGGTAGGTCCTGTCAAGTGAGACAATACTTTTCCAAAGTCAGTTTCAAACTCATTTTTTTCGTTAGTACTTTTTGCAATTCTTTTTGCCTCTGTTATTTTTTACCTTGAGTCACAGATATAAGACACTTTTTTGGCGTAAAATCAAGGTGATCTGGGATAGAGCGACAAAGTTGCGATGGTCGGAAGTTGATGCCAATAAATAAGAAAATTATAAAATATAGATAGTTACCTTGTTACCTTGCTATCATTATTGCTCTGTTTGATAAATAATCATTTATCACATTGAATTTCCTCTCAATTTTTTTTATTTCATGAACATCGAGCTGCTATTGACTGTGTTATGAATTTTTAGAGGTAAAATAAAGTAGTTAATCAACGAATATTAGCTCATCGCGTTCACATCACGAATTTTAGAGAAAAACTACTCAATGAATACCTATGATTCTTGGCATGTTACTGAATGTTTATGGGGGGGGGGTCAGTTTTCAAAAATTTCCAGGGGGGTTCACATTTGACAATTTTGGCCCAAATATGACTAAAATCACTTGAGAAGTGCTCAAAATGGTGAAAAACTGCATGATTTTGAAAGAGCTTCTGGCCAGGGGGGAGGGGTCGCCCGAACCATGCGAACCCCCTGGCTACGGGCCTGAAGCTCCGTAGTGTAGATCGAACGAATCTGAAGTTGACGAAGTGTGCATGAATTACGAATTAAAGTAGGTCAGTAGGTTTAGTATATGAAAACGTCAATCTATCTGTCAAAGTTGTAGATCGTACACTCGTATATTCTCATTTGCTAAAATTCCAGTCCAAATCCATTATACTTATTCTCTAGAAATCGCTTGTTTTCCTCGAAATTCTTTATCAGTTTTCATGAAGAAAGAAACGCTTTACCATTTTGTTTTAATATTATTTTCAGATTATGGGAGAAGAGTAAGAAATCGAATATACTCGTATCTCTCAAAAATTGTACTTGTTGAAGAAATAAAAACTTCCCAACCTGGTGGTGCTAAACGTGCAACAAACCGACTTAAGCCTACATTAGGTGATGTTATGCCTACATGTGTGCTAAGGCATTAAATTACTGACAAAAAAACGCTTATCTTTTTTATTTTGATGACAGGGCGTTTCTTTCTTGCCAATGGCGCAATCCAATGTGAAAAGAAACAGTGTCTAATTCCCCATTCCGAACCATTCAAGCACCAATATCACAATTCATTACGATAAACAAGTAATTCTCTTTGGTAGTTGTGATTTTGACGTGTACATAATAATTATTTTACAAGTATACATTTGACAAATGTATATTTAAAGAGAGAATCAGATCTAGAATATTTCAGGCTCATGTCATTCCTTCACATGTCTATTTTCTTAAAATCCGAAAAGCGCACTAATTATTTCAGGGAGACTAAAGATTTTTACAATAATGTATTATTTTTCTATAAGAATGGTTACCATTCTTATTATTTGGGAGAATTTAAACATTTTTGACCCATTTTTGCACTTTTAATCCATTATAACTTCGTCAATTTATAACATATCATGAATCTTTTGGGAGATATTGTATTTGAGATTGTAAGGAATTTATTAATAGGTCAGTTGTACATGTTACTTGCATTTTTTCACCCCTATATATCCGATTCTGCCTTTAACTAACGTTTGATTTTCCATTGGTGACCATTCCTTGTACATACCATTTGACTTAAGTAATGCTGCAATTTTTCTTTCAATACCAGCATTATCAGCTCTTATATCAGACACGTCCGTTTTTATGGAAGAAATGGCATTTGAGAGTGTTGAAACCATCTTTGTCAGTGTGGAAATACCAGCCGTTAGAGTGGCAACGTCAGAGGAAATACCAGTTGCCAAGGTATCCAAGTCTTGTCTTGTCTTATGGCAACAAGATGAACCAGCATGTGTGTCTGAAAGATAGTGGTTAACAACATGAAGCTTTAACCAAACAGTCAAAAATGTGTCCAACATGGGAATATTGAGAGGTCGTAATTTTAATATGGAACTGATGGCTCCTGTTACAATCAATCCAATCATTGACTCGGTCACTTCTGTAAAAATTCAAGAGTAAAACATTGCTCCATTTTGAAATGAAATCATTACAGTGTTTAATAATACGTATATCTCATGAATTTCAATTACAGGGACAACGTAACAAGTGATCTTTAACGAACTTACGTTTTGTTAGCTACATTGATAGATAGATCTACTGATCTATACTTGCTTATTGAATATGACTTTTTAAAATACTGTTCATGATATATTTGGAAAGGTTCAATAGTTCAATCAAAACTTAATGAATCAAAAACTTAATGAATTTTGAAATGAAACCATTACATTGTTTAATAATACGTATATCTCATGAATTTCAATTACAGGGACAACGTACATTCGAGTTGACAACGCACATTTCCGATTTTTTAAAATTGCAACAAATACTTGAATATTTATTAATCATCACCCGTCCTAAATTGTGTAGCATAGAGAAACATATTCTCAGAAAAATAATCGACACTCTTAGGCAACAGAGGAAAAATGATCAAAGGAAATGTGAAAACCCCAACATTTTCCAACTGATCAATTTTCGTGGGTAGATTGAATACAAAAAAACAGAACACTGTTCGAAAATCCTTTAACGTTATTAGAAAGTTAAATGTCTTCCTAAACGAATACACACAAAATTCAACATGAAATCTTTCAAATATTCCCAAGGTTAATTTTTTAAAACCTATATTACACCTGCATCATTGTCTTTGCTTCAAATCGGTTAAATAGTGACATCGTACATCAAAAATGCACTACGGTATATTTTGTCACTGTCACGCGACTACCTTATCGATGGTTAGGCGTGTTGGATAGAAATAAAAAAGTTTGATTATTACGTTGTGTGTTTTAAACAAAGCGTGTATGCTGTAATATTTACTTACCTTCTATAAAGACAGCTATCAATACTGTCAAAATTCCTGTTAAACTGTCAAGTCTCATCTTTCAGTTATGATAGGCTATGTACGACCTCTGACTCGTAGGATCTGTAGGTCTACTGATGTGTATATGCAACTCTTCAATGTCGTCGAAAGTCGCATCGGTAAATTTAATTCGTATCATTGTTAATGCATCGAACATAATATTGAAATGTTATACAGAGGAAACATTAATCAAATTCTGTTGTTTGTCTGTCTGAAATATTTACTTGATATAAAGTATCGACTTTTTACCGCAACAATTAAGGATACTAGGGATAAAATGGTTACGTTTGTGAAAAACATATGGGTTCAGACTTTCAATGACTGTTTTCAATGATTCATTCTTATATGTTTTCATCGAAAAATCAAAAAAGAGATTGCTACCGCAATGGAAATATTATAGGATAACCTCAGTTGGTATACAGTAGGTTTAACCCGACCTATTAGTTTTTTGAGTGAGAGTTATCTTACAACCAGTATCCCTTTAAATGGGACAATGGATATTGATTCAGTCCTTTGGCAATATATCATCTTCAGGGGCAGACATGAATGATGATCAAAAATAGATTGATTCATTAGTTTCTTTGGATGAGAACTATCTCACAAGCAGTGTCCGTTTTAGCAAAATGGAGAATGATGGATCAAAAATAGATTGACCCTTTCGATTCCTTGTTTAGGATATTTTCGTGTTTATTAGGATAAGAGCTATATTACAAGCTGTGCCCCTTTAAATGAGTAAATGGATATTGATTCAGTCCTTCGGCAATCTATCATCTTCAAGGGCAGGCATGAATGATGAATAAAAAATAGATTGATTCATTAGTTTCTTTGGGTGAGAACTACCTTACAAGCAGTGTCCCTTTAAATGGGTATATGCATATTGATTTAGTCCCTCGGCAAAATATCATCTTCAGGGGCAGAAATGACTGATGAATTCAAAATAGATTGACCTTTTTGATTCTTTGTCTAAAATATTTTAGCATTCATGATGATGAGAACTACCTTACAAGCAGTATCCCTTTAAATGGCTTAATGGATATTAACTTAGTCCCTCGGCATTAGATCATCTTCAGGGGCAGGGATGAATGATGAATCAAAAATAGATTGATCTATTAGTTTCTTTGGGTGAGAACTACCTTGCAAGCAGTGTCCCTTTAAATGGGTAAATGGATATCGATTCAGTTCCTCAGCAATATGTCATCTTCAGGGACAGGCATGAATCATAAATCCAAAAATAGATTGACCCATTTTTCGTATCTGATAGTTTTAACCTTGATGTCTGGCAGATCCAATATGGCCTCCTTGTTGAATCTTAAATTGTTGCTATAATATTTTCACATTGAGTATCTTCCGCAGTCAGGGCCCTCTCTTATTTCATGTTTGAACTATGTAATAATGTCAATACTAAACAATAAAGGTAAAACCAGAGGGGGTCTGACCTGCGGAAGCACCTCAATCTGTCAGTGACTGGAGAAGGTCATTCAAAGTTAAAAACAAGAACACAATAGGGTGCCTTTCAAAACAACAGGATTACAAAGTATCTATGCATGACTGGCCTGTAAAGTGAAGCTTAATATGCTCTGAGACATTGTAGTTTTATACTGACAAGTCAATTTAAGTGTATCTACAAAAATTTAGATTAAATTCAAGGTTTTGTGAAAATATGTTTAAATTACTCACTTTAAGAGTCAGAATGACATGTGTTAAGAATCAATGTAAAAAACAATTGTTTACCTTATTCTAAATATATGATTCGTTGAAATACTTCATAAATATTCATATTATGTAAAAATAATTCTGGAATTCCATTTTACCCTTTTCAAAAAAGGAGCACGTAGGTTATCGCAAACAATTTCAAACGATTCTAACTCGAATTATGAATATTTTCTGATCATGAACATGGGTGTATCTTTTAGATCCATTCATTATCTTCAAGCAAAGTATATATAATGATAATTTAGTTAATCAGACCTAAGTGATATTGAAGGAGCAATGGACCAATCAACATACTTTTTCAAAGGATTGACCTAATTTTCACCAAAAATGCAACCTTGTATTATATTGTTGAATGTATAATTTGAATGTGCTTTGAGACATGTTCGATTTCCTAAAGGGAAAATGTGATTGCTCTGGCCATTGGGACTTTAAAGATACTGAATTTGGATGACCAAAATGAACTGAAACCAATGGATAGCATGAGATTTTTCAATGGAGAAATAACATGGGGAACACTTATCTTAAAGAAATTAAGTTTTTCTTTCAAGAAATATTTGATACGTTAAAATAAAGAATAGTAATGCATTAAACAATGTAGAAATTGATTGCATTTTGGTGAAATTTTTTGCACATAAAAGAACACAGGGCTCCTTCAAGGAGGGGTTTCTGGGTCTTCCATGTTAATTACGTAAATTACGACCGTTATACGGGACATACCCAAGAGGTATTGCTCACCTTCATTGGTGGTAAACAAAATACAATAAAAAACAACAATAAACCGTCTGAAATTGTTTGCGATAACCATCGTGCTCCTTTCTAAGTCCTTGTAGATACACTTATGGTTACGGATCCTTTAAAGGCAAACATCAACATAGAGAAAACACTAAGCCTCTCAGTTATACTACATACAGAGATATGTGTAAGTTCGCTTTGAAAGAAATTGGAGTAGATAGCTCTTTGGGTTGCATTCTTCATGAGCGGGCGGCGCTAGCGTCACAGCTAACATTGGTGTCCCGGATCGCTTATTCAAAGCTTATGGCAGATGGTGAAGTGAAACGGCCAAAGATGGATAGTTACATAGAAAGTGATATCAAGCATTGCAGAGGCTAAGCTTTACTTTAAGTCTTGGATTGTGAGCGTCCGGCCGATTGAGCATTTTGTTCAAAACGGAATAAACTGATGAATCAGGGCAAACGTGACCCAGACATTAGCCTAGATCGCCCTCGCTACAAGGCGATACTTCTTAAAGTATATCTTGTTATTTTTTTGTTGTTGTTACAAAAATTGTGGTTTCGCTTACTTGAGGTAGGAATTAGCGAGAAAATTACTTTAAAGACTTGTTCAAGTAACTTCTCCGTGTATTTTTATCTTTATCCTTTTTTCTTTTGAATTTCCAACACCATAACATTAACTACCTACTCAATACGCAACTTTTCACCATGTAGAATTTTGAGATTAACAATAACAAGTATTATAGACGTACACATTGATATATACATATTATAAATTATAAATGTAACGTTTTAACTATTAGACATACAACATTGTGTACATTTATCAATATAGATATGCATATTGCAGTCAACCGTGAACTTTGATTTATCTGAATTTGGTCAACTCAGACAGCAGTACAAGGTGAATTTAATGCTGTATGGTGAATCGATTTATCTTTTTTGACAAATCAGAAAAAATAAAAATCTTTAAAACTAAAAAAACGTGAACACTTATCACGACCGGTGATCGGGAAATGGGACGGAGGGGGGGGGCAATTTCTGCTATAAAATACAACAAATCTGGAATTGTTAAATGTATAGGCGCGGCGCGGTATTGTAAACTATGTAAAGTCTTCAAGTCTTCTCGGATTTTTTTGAGCCGACACGCTTCTAAGAAACGAGATCCATTAAAAAAGGGGCAAGGCCACAAATGTGCACAAATCAATGTTCTGTTCCTGGTCTCCGATTTGGCTTGTGGTCTTTCAGAAAGGGGGGTTATCCCCGGCCAGCAGTTTTATAACGAAGGGGGAGGGGGGGTTGAAGCTAATGTACGGACTCTCATTCCGGGCAACTTCTCTATTTCTCGCGACGCTCATTCCGACTTCCAGACTCTCACGCCGGGTAACTTCTCTTCCCCTTCGGACTCGGAAAAGGTGCTATACGTGGTCATCTTGTGCGATGGGATAACAGATGCAATAGTAGACTTGTGTTAAGATGTAAGAGTTAGAGATGTTAGTGTTAATATGTTAGTGCTAGATGTTAGAGTTTTTGTGTGCGCTGGCTTGACTACATGGCGACCATTTTGAATTTTTCAACCTGCTCCGAATTTAACAAATCTTTTTCCTAAAAATCATCAAAAAGTTCTCAAAATGTCGAATCTGACCTTCGATTTGACTTCTAGTTTAACTTCAGCCAGCGACATTCAAAAGGTCAAAATATTGATTTTTATTCAAATTTAGAGCAGCTTAATCACAAAAGTCCCAGTGAGGTCTGAAAAAGTAAAATTTTCAAGGTCAAAGGTCAAGGTCAACTAGCTATGGGTATTGAAACTAAGATACGGGGTGTGAAATGAATATACTTATCTCCCTCTTATTTTTCAAATTTTTTTTCGCTGCCTTATAGCTCCTTCAAAAAATTCTCATGAGTTATCGAAGTTTCTGAAAGTAAGACAAAATTCGAAGAAAACCATTCACCTGTTCAACTTGAAAATTTAAACTACATGGTGGCCATTTTTGAATTTTTCAACCTGATCCGAATTTTCCAAATATTTTTTCTGAAAATCATCAAAAATTCTCAAAATTTCGAATCTGACCTTCGATTTGATCTCTAGTTTACACTCAGCGACATTCAAAAGGCCCAAAATTGATTTTTTCAAATTTATTTTCTTATTCAAATTTTGGTGGGTATATTACTTGGTTGTCATTTTGAATTTTTCAATAAATCTTGTCATTAAAATTCAAGGAAAATCACTTATCCGTTCAACTTGAAATTTTACAGATGCAAGAGCAGACTAATGCCAAGATCTGATTAGGTTTTGGGTGTGCTGGCTTAACTACATGACGGCCATTTTGAATTTTTTGTCAAGTCAGCTATTTGATTTTATCAACGTTCTCCTTTATCAATTTTGTTTTAACAAATCATCTACAAGTCCTGACCTTAGTTTTGAGATTTGACATTTTCTATCCCTTCAGTGACCTTCGTAAGGTCAACAAAGTTGATTTTAAAAAATTATTTTTCGGGATTCAATAATTTAGTTCAGCACAATCACATAAGTCCTATTGAGGTAAGAAAACAAACGATGTTATCGAAGTTTCTCAAAGTTAGATACTACAAATCATTTCCTAACGTCAAAACTCCAAGAAGAAAAGCATTGACCTGCTCACTTCGTATAGGGTGTGATGCAATATCGTAAACTTTTTATCCCATCTGACGAAGTTAGGAGAGATATAGGGAATCACAAAATATATTTTTCTTCTTTCCACAACCTTTATTTTATTATA